TACACTGAAAAATACGATACGAACAAACTGACAGCATCTTAAACATAAACACATTTACATTTTCACAGTTTAAAAAAAAACATTTAAAACTCCTTTATATTTATATAATATAAAGTTACATATTATATCATACATATATTTTTGAGCCCTTAAACTAAACCTATCCTGATCACTTCTCAACCATATAAAAATGTTATAGGCAGATTGATGTACAATGTCAATAATTTTAGTTACAAAAAAAATTGTAAAGATATTTTTCAAACATGTTTTATTCTGTGGTGCAGTCACATTAGTCACAAAAGGTCCATGTTAATACATTGTAGTGAAGTCACTTGTAAACCAGTCAACTTTCTGTTGGTCAGTGTGGCGAATTAATTTGACCAACTTGATGCCAGTGCAAAATCTGTGTGGGGAAATCTTTCGCCTCAACAGGAAGTTCTGAATTGCATGGATTCCTGTTGAAATTACTGGATTTCATCCATGAAAATTTGTCAGACATCAATAATTGTGCCGCACCTTTAGAAGCACAAACATATGTCAACTGACAATATCGCAGTATGCAAAAACAACTATAAGTAAAACATTTGTTGCTTGATTTTCCTGAAAAGTGTAGACAATGTGGCAATATCAAAGCTATCACTGCCTCAGTCAATGGTTTGAATTTGTCCAACCAATAGGGGAGTATTCAGGAAACATTAAAATGTCTTAAAATATTAATAATTCCATTTGGTTATGGTAGTGGTGTAAAAATTACACATTTCTACTTTAATTCTAACGTAATTCAAATTATTAAAATCACTCCTTGAAGAAAGGTTACAGGGTTGCACTCATTAATTCTGTTTTAATTCATGCAAATGCAAGACAGATTTGATTAACTAATCATTTTAATCAGTGCACCTTCTTTAAAAGCTCACTACAGCCTACCAATCAATGACTCGCATACATATGAAAGGGAATTTAATGAGATGCGAAGATCATAGACTTAGATCTAACGTTTCACTAAGTCTGTCCAGGGCAAAATGATGACAATTTTGGTCTTTTTTCCCACCATCTCTTTCTTCTTTTTTTCCATTTTTCTGTGCAGCTATAGGGGGAAGTCAGGAGCACTTTGACAGTATTCTAAAGCAGCAGAAAGAGCAGATGTCTTGGGATGATTAATGTGCCTCTCTTCCTCTCCTCTGAAGAGCAGTGCGTCTGTGCCTCTTGCACCCTCCTCTCCAGAGTTACTGTGCAGAGTCCCTCCCTCCCGTCCCCCGGAGTCAGGGCCACCCTCCAGCTCTACGTCTCGCAGCTCATCTCGCTCTTAACCGAGGGATGATGGGACGGTGAGCTGGTCAATGGGGAGACATGATAATGTGCCATCTGAAAATCCAGTGCTCGTGAAACGTCAAGGGCAGGATAGCTCAGTGGAGACAGGTTTTTAGGTGAAGGGCCTCTGAGAGATGAAGTGATTCTGTGAAGATAATGAGCAATATTGAATATTGCAGTTCTATTTTTTCATAGTAGTTTTGACAGAGTGTGGATGCCTTTGTAGCGGTCTTAAGATAGATATACTTGGTGATCAATGGGCTTTGGTCAGTTAAGGAGTTTGGAGGGCAGGTTTGTATGCTCAGGGGATTACACCTAAATCCCATAGATAGAGAAGGGCAGAAAGATGAACAGAAGCCCAAGTGTGACTGTTTCTAGTGGTGAGGGTTGTTGCAGCCTAGAACACTCGCATAGAGCAATTCTGCCCCCTTCTGGAACATGTTGGATGTGCAGTTTTCCCTCCTAAACAGACTAAACAAAGGCTGCATCTTAATATGCATACTTCTTTGCTGTTAAAACTGTACCTAAAAACAGCAGTATGTCTGAACTGACAGAATAAAACAGTCGGCGAAAAGCACCCAGATGACCTACAATACAACTTCTGACGAAATTAAGAAGTGTGCATCCAGTGAATGCTTTTCTATCGCATGAGGCCATGGGAGAGGATTTGTGAATGACAGTGAAGCAACAAAATGAATGCTGGTAGGTCACATGACAGTGACAATATTACATTCATGCTACATACGTAACGTGACTAATATTAACTGTCATAAACACAGTTAACACACATGACTTCACATATCTCTGGATATTAAAAGTTAAGGTTCTCCCAGCCCAGTCCTCATAATCCTCCATTTATTCTACAATATCGCCCAAAACACTTCAGTTTTCATCAACAGATGTTATGACAGGTCAACAAAATTGAACAGAAGGGCCTGAAACTCACTGAAATTTAGATCATGAATCACACTTATAGATAATATGAGTCTATTCAGGAAGGAATTATAGAGAAGAAGCTCTACAAGTGCGTGTGTGTGTGTGTGTGTGTGTGTGTGTATTCTCCGCTCCAAGATCTCAGTGTCATGTCAGGAGCAGGCACACACGTCTCAATAGCCAAAAGTCCCCACTCATGCCATCATAAACAGCTTCTACTCCTCCTCTCTGTGGCAGAAATGAGCCTGAGGCAGCGAGCCCAGAAAGCTGGTGATGAAGCGGGCTGCCAGACTTGAGTGTCCCCCGCCAAAGCGTTTCAGGAGGCAGTAGTAATTGATTGGCCAAGAGAAGAGCACGAGTGAAGAAATGATGTCTGAGAGACTGCCAGCCTTAGTGTCTAATGGGCCTCATCTCTTCTCACACGTGCAGGCTCATTTTTCTTCACCACTTCTCTTCATCTGTCTAAACCCCATTTAAGGAGGAATCTATGTTTATATCCTTTATTTTTCCTTTAAAATCGAGACTGGTGAGTGGTTTTTATTAATATTTTGAAGCAGTTTTTATTTTTATCTTTAAGTACATTTTTAGTCATTTTGTTGTGTGTTTTTGTCATTTTTAGTATTTTTATATGTCTATTTTTTATAGTTTTTAATTTATTTTTATTTTTTATTTTAGTACATCAAACTAAATTAAATTCAAATTAAAATGTTGCCTTTACAACTAAATGAAATAAAAAAGTAATATATATATATATATATATTATAACTCTTTGTTACAATTATTTATAAGTATATCAGGACCACAAAGTTCATGTACCTCTCTAGAAGGACTGCACTTATCACTATAAAATCTAAAGAATTGGTTATCAATCAGATGGATGTATTCAAAGTTACCTTACATATTAAACTCATTGCAATCTACAAAACAGCTGAGCCTGACGAAATGTAGCCTATTCCATGTGGCTTTTAAATGTATAAGGATGCAAAAGGACAGTCAATGTCAGTGTACTGTATGACGCTGAAATACAACTGAAGGTCAGTCCAATTATCTGTAATGCAGCCCCTCCTTTGCGAAATGCCCACCCCACCAAAATATTAACAGGCCCTTGCATGAATATGAATTACAGTGAGGGTGGGGTGGACAGGGTGATCCTGTCCGGCTCCTATCAGCGAGCACACCAGCATCCCAATGTCAAGTCGACGGGAGAGGACACTGCCTTCATTAAGTTATAGGGTGCGTTTGGTGGACGATGGGGCGCATTTACATGAGAAACGAGAGAGGAGGGAAGCATCCACATCCTAATCACTCATTCACTTATCTCATTCAGACAGAGTCAGATAGAGCTCTGATGACACCAGGGTCATGATTAGAATGCATTAAGCATTCATTTAGAAAAAATCAGAGACAGAGATGAGCGCGAACCACACTCTTAGATGTTAGTTTTTCTATATTCCCGGCAGTGATTTGCTGATTGTCCCATTCGGGCACCCATCAGGGGGCTAATGCAACAGAAATGACAAGGCAAATGATGTTCGATGAATGGGGGAATTTTTTTAAGGATTTTATGATTTCACTCCCTTAAGGTTCAGCTATTCATACAGCACATGCTCAATTATGAAATGACATTTCAGATGGTAGCAGTAGCAGCAGCTGCAACTTCTACATTGTTTGGGAGACTATTATTATTTGCTATCTGCAAATGTTGCAGCCCAATATTTTATGCAAAACTTGAACAGGTAAGAGTGCCTGATTGTGCAGCAATACTGCCCCTGGAGGTGACTCATCGTCAGTACAGGACACAATGTCAGAAGAGGGCTTGAATAGTAAAAGTGGTTTCGGAATGCATTGATTACTGTTATGGTGCGTGGAAGTTTTATTAAAAAGGAGGGAGGTGTTTGATTATCTGTCCAGCAGAAAATCACGTAAAAACACTTTTTGTGATTTTTCAACAGTCATTTGGCAAGTGATAACATACTGCTCAAATGTATTCCATGTAGCTTTTAAAGGTATAAGATTGTTAAAGAACAGTCAATTATTATTTATTTTTTAAACATATAAATAAATTTTAAATATATTAAAGGGGTCATATGATGCTGCTAAAAAGAACATTATTTTGTGTATTTGGTGTAATGAAATGTTTATGTGGTTTAAGGTTCAAAAACACATTATTTTCCACATACTGTACATTATTGTTTCTCCTCTATGCCCCGCCTTTCTGAAACGCGTCGATTTTTACAAAGCTCATCATTCAAAAAAAGCGAGGTATAATGATAGTATCATTATGATACTATCACAAAGTTATTTGGCAAGTGATGTAACATAGGCTACTGTACCACTAAATTCGGTTAAAATAACTGTGTAAATAAATTTTTAAATAATAATACTCATTTTAATTTAATTTTTTTTTGCATTTAATTTATAAAAAAAATTTAGTTGATTAAAAACCTGTTAAAACATCATAACTACCACTTTTAAAATGAACAAATACCATAAACAATTTTATTAAACTTAATGACATATACTTTAGGGTGAGAGTTCCTGTGTCAGTAGAAACACCATTTCATTTAGTTTTATTTAGGCATTAAAAAATAATTGTGAAGATCTAAGGCTCTTAAACGTATCATCCAGTAATAAGGGTTTTTCGCCAACCTGGCAACCCAGACACAGCTCTGACGGAACTGAACCGCTCAATCGAATCTTCGGAACCATGTGACATAACATAGCCAATAAGCTGTCAGTAATCCCCTGTTATTGTAGCGGGAAACTTTATGATAAGCAATTAAATAAAACAATGTGAACATTAAATGATTGTGTGCATGTTCCAACTTCTTCTGTATGGGTGAGTCTTTTGCTTCCTGGTTTGCCATCACTTTACTAACAGGTTGAACGTTTCGCTCGGTTGCCATGACAAACGAGCTAGCGAGCTAATAACGAAACCGAACAACAATATAAAACATTTGTACTTTCTTCATTAACAGCCTGTTTGTTTAAGATGCAGCGCGATCAGACTTTTCTGTCTTTCTTCCAGACGTTTTCTCGTTTAGGTTGTGTATCAAATGTGATTTAAGTTTATTTATTTGTTTGAAAGCAATTATTCTTATAATAACACTTGTATATAAAACGTAGTACTAATTCTAATATGTTTGTCTCACAGTGTTTCAGTGAATTATGGCTCATAGACTAACTCAAGAGGAGCTGGATCATCAGTTTGAGCAGTTCTTGAAAGAGGTAAGTTATTGTTGACAGTCTCTACTATTGACAGTTTACTGTTTAACTACGTTTGTGTGTGTGTGTGTGTGTATATATATGTTACATACTGGCCTTACATAGCATACATAGCCTGAATGCACTGTAAGTCGCTTTGGATAAAAGCGTCTGCTAAATGCATAAATTATTTTATATATATATATATTGGTATTTGATGTGAAAAACCTTTGGGAAGTTGATGCTTCATGTAGTTTGACATGCTATACTCCATCTAAGATTATTTTAAACGTGTTTATTTTGCAAATGATTTTATAAATCTTCTATATGCAGTGTATTGATTGAAAGACAACATGCAGTAAATATTGTTGAGCCCAGTATTCCAGGTAAACTTTATGCTGTTGTGTATTTATTTACTTTTTTTGCCAGTCTGTCTCTGATGACTCGGTCGATTTGGGCACCAGCGCCAGGCGCCCTAGTGTTCTTGACAGCTTGGGAAAAGCACCTGTCAGGCCAGTGAAGAAGGCCTCAGCGTCTGTGCCGTGGTGGCAGGATGATGATGACAGTGAAGAGGGACCAGGTGAGTGCTGGTGATCTTTGGTCTGGGTTTGAAAACCAAAGCTTTACAGTTCACACCTTGGAAAGTTTCTGAGATCCACTAACACCTTGTGTGCCTTTGAGCAAGTCACTTTATTCCAGATTTCCAGGGATGCATGCTCTTCTTGTATTGTGTATTATGAGTATCTTTGTGTAGGAAGGTGTCAGTACAGATCTAACTATCTAAAGATAATATTGGGGGTTTAAGCAACAAATATTGTAGTTTAGCATTTGTCCACTTGAGGGCAGCAAGCACAAAGCAGAAGACAAAATAAATGATGCAAAATCAGAAGATTCAGATGTGTCATCAGGCCCTAAAATGCAACTATGAATTGCACTGCCTTTGTTTCAAAATGACTTGCATGTAGCTCGATTGATTCATTTTTAGCAGACTTTGATAAGCAAAAATTTTTCTGAATAGAATAAATTAAATAGAATAGTTGATTAGAACTGTTGTTGTTTTATGTTGTTGACTTGCATACAGGGTATAATATAACTCAAAATTCTAGATATGAACTGATGCATGTGTTTTTTTAATATGATTAGACCTGATATAAACTTCACCTGATGTTAGTCATCTAGGCAGCCTAATTGCTTCTGCGATGGAGGAGTTGCCGTTTTCTCGTTATGCTCTGCTCTTAATAGACCTGTTTTGTTTTGTTTTTTGGGATTTGGGTTTCCCAGTGCCTTTGCATTTGCTTGCATGTAAACTGACTTACAAATGAGGAACATAAAGCAATTTATCATAGGTGCTATCAACATCTAACAGAAAATATTGTTGGAAAGTATATTGGATGTCACAAGTGCATTTATATCTAAACAACAGTAAAGCAGTGAGACATAATAGGAAAATACCTAAACTAATTATACATTGTTCTGCCATCAAGTCCCTCAGTGATTAAGGTGTTGTTTACTGCATAAACACATTACTAGTTTACTACATTACTCCGATTCTGTTTATCGATTCTGATTCTTTTCGATTCCCAGTTTTGATTCCAATGTGATTAAATAATGATATAATAACATTTATCCTGTGTCTCTTTTTTGCAAACCATTTATTAATACCATGAACAAAAATCAACAGGCTACATAAAAACTGGACTCTTTAAGAGCTGTTTGTGTGCAAAATAGAACTGCATGATTCTGGATAAATTGGGTTTGTTTTTTTTTGTTTTTTTTCCCCCAATGGAAGTTGTAATTCTCATTATTCTGAGGAAAAAACATTAGACAACTAAACAAAATCACATGTAATTTATGAATTAATGATTAAATGACTCACTCGAGATGTACTTGTTTCATTACTGGATGAATCAGCGTTCTTGAACGAATCTTTTGTATGATTCAAAGACAAATACATTTTAACAGCCCCTTTTCGCCACCTACTGGCGTAACAATGTAATCGATAATCTTCATTTGAAG